GGCTTGTTTTACAACGTCGTTGCCAAGCGACGAAGACCCAGCCCCGATGGCAAACACCGGGGAGGGCGACCGGGGGGGGGCGCTTGTTTTACAACGTCGTTGCCAAGCGACGAAAACCCAGCCCCGATGGCAAACACCGAGGGGGGCGGATTGTGTTCCAACGTCGTTGCCAAGCGACGAAAACCCAGCCCCGATGGCAAACACCGAGGGGGGCGGATTGTGTTCCAACGTCGTTGCCAAGCGACGAAAACCCAGCCCCGATGGCAAACACCGAGGGGGGCGGATTGTGTTCCAACGTCGTTGCCAAGCGACGAAAACCCAACGCCGATGAAGGGGGGGGGGTACTCACGTTGTGCGTGCCTTAGCGGTTAGACCATTCACCACACGCCACCGAGAGGGCGGGGCATTGTTCCCACTGGACCGATCACCGATGGCGAATCGTTTCTTCCTACTTTGCCAACGGTGTCTCAAAATGTTTTGCCTAGCCTGGGAGGGAGGGTTGGGGGCGAAGCAGGCTCACGAAAGTACGTGTCGGGTCCCTCAACTCCACTCTCTCGCGATGTTCGTATGTCGCCAAGTCAACCCACAAAAAAGAGCTTGCCCCTCTTAATGGAAATCAACGTCGTACGCAAGCATAGCCCACCGCCACTAACGCCACCCGCGCAGAGCGCCGTTATGGCAGGGTCAATGGAAATGCCGGGCTGGGCCCGCTGAGCTTCTATCGGAGATGCTGCTTGCTGGAGCAACGGGAACCACTACGGCTTGGTGCATGGGAAGACAACAACGGCACGCGCCCGGCATTCCGCGTGACGCTGTACAATGTGCCCCGCCTTCTCTGGAAGGGGGAAACAAACCCGAAAACGCGAGCCCCCCCCCTAACAGGCATTGTTGAGACGCCGGGCGCAAAGAATTCTTCGCCAGGTGACCCAGTGCCGCCGAAGTTGGAGGAACAACGGCAAGTGCCCGCCCCCCTCTCGCCCCTCCTCCGCCGGGTGCCCGCTGTGCGGACGGCGTAGACGCCATGTTGTTGTTGTTGTTGTTGTTGTTGTTGTTGTTGTTGTTGTTGTTGTTGTTGTTGTTGTTGTTGTTTTTCTTCACATTAAGCTCGTGTCAGTTGGTAATCCCAAAATCTAGCAAACACTCGGTCCGTGGTCACAAAAATGCTAGAGCCATCAAAGTTCTAAAGAACACACACACTATTAGCAAGAAAAGGGTTCGCAAGCCCGAGGAGGTACACCTGCAATCCCTGCAGCACGTTTGCGTGCTCACAACTGAACTACACGCCCACACACGACATGTCGACTACAGCAGCATCACCCCCCTTGTCCCGCATTCAACCAAAAGGGATGTTTGTCGACTACAGCGTACTGCTGTCTGAAGTGCTGTCTGTACAATAATAACACCATGGTGCATGGTATGCATACATGTACACAAGCTCGGGGCATAGAGCTGCTGTCTGTAGTGCTGTCAGAATGAGTCCGTGGACATACAATGGAGAAGAACAACCAACCAAAGCCATCATTCCAATTGACAATCACCTGAATCTATCCAGATCATCATCTGTGTTAGGCACAGCAGTGTGAACATCGACACTGACTAGGAATCGTTCCACATTGAAGGGGTCTTCCACGATGCAGGTACACAATTACGGCACCCGGGTTATCCGCGCCATCTCTGCCGCGTCTCTCTACAAAACCAGTGATGTCGTAGCACACACCCAACACCTGTATTCAGGAAAAAAACGGAAAAATAATTGGCAACACAAGAGATGTTTGTCCGTGCGCCACGGTTCGATGCCATCCGCCTGCTCCGGTTCCGCTGCTCCGGTGCCGCTGCCCCGGTGCCACTGTGGCCAGTCCTAGCACGACCAAACTCGACCCGCTCCGCTTCGTACACGCTCTCGTTGCTGTCCTTCCCAGTCGGTTTCTCGCTTTCTCCCTCGTTGCACTTAGGGTTCTTGGTCTGAAAATTCTCGCGCCGAAGGGTCAACCAGCCCAATCAGCTCGTCACCACCGGTCCCCTCCTCCCTTGATGGCAAAACCAGGTTACTGAGATAGTACAGCTCCCTCTAGCAAACCTAGGGCCGTGTACATAGTGCCCGTCCACCTTTCTGATGACGTCTGCCTCCGCGCACAAAGATGAGATGGGCATTGCTGCCTACACCGACGGCCTGGAGGCCCGCGCATCTGCACCTTTGTACCTGACGCACCAGTGCCGACCCAGCTCCACCACTACGCACGCCTCGCGGCGGGTGCGCCGCAGCAAGAAGGTATCGGTCCGTTGAGGGTGAGTCTAGCCCTGCTCGCTAGAAAGACCCCCCCCCTCGCTATGAGTCATGCCTACGCAAAACCTTCCCGAGGCAGCGAGGGGAATAAAGAAGATGAGGTCCGTGTCAAACGGGCCCAGTGAGTCCAAAACATTCTTGGAATGCACCTGGCGTATGATCGATTCGCGCGAGGGCCTAGAACTCGCATCCATCCGCCACCTCGTTGTTCGCCATCGGTACCCGCCATGATTATAGTGTACCAACAAATAGTGTGTCCGTACTCCACCTGCAAGTCGAAAGCCTCACCATCCAGCTGTGCGTGGGTCTCCCTGTCACGCGCATGGCTCCACTTGAACGCCCCCACGGTTAGGTGATTCAACCCAAAAGGTTACAAGTGTGCCCCCCCTCGTGTTCGTTTCGCCTGGTGTAGGGTGTTGTGAGCTAACCCCGTCGCAACAATGGACCAGAAGCCGACCTCAGAGAGGAGGGCAAATGGCGTCAGCAGCAAGAACACGTCCACCAGGAGCTGTACCACGGCGTGCGCCTAGTTGGTTAATACGAGCTTCACACTGCATGCGAAATACGCGGCCACAACGAGTGGGCGATGCGTGCCTTTCAAATGTCATTGCTGCGACGTCAGTACTTTACAGAACTTTGGAAAGTCGACGTATGCAGGCGTTTCTGCTTGATGAGAAGATCTGCCAACTCCACCGTCTTCCACGTATACTTTCCGTTTAAACAAACTTTAGTGTCGCTCTTTCGACACCCGACACGCCTATCCACCCGTCTAGACTAATGCATCTGTTCCACAACAATGTCAATGCCAATTGTCTGTGAGTTTGTCCGATCTAAGTTTGTGCACGACAACCACACAGCCTTTCTTGTCGTCTTTCGTCTGATGGTTTCAGGTTTAAAACAGGGAGACGGTACACTGTAGGCCAGAGAAAAAACGAGTAGGTCTAAAAGCAAAAAAAACGCGGCGAGACCCCAAAAAGTTTTGCAGCAACCGGTTCTGAGGAGGTTGGCACATCAGACATCAGATACGCACCTCAAGGTTTGAACGACTGATCCTGTGTGGACAACATTTTTTTCGAGATCGGGATTGAGCGCCTTCTTGCTGCGGTGATCGCACCATTCATGATGCCATACTGGGGGTGGGATGGATCAAACTTCGTTGGCCACGCCCTACTTGTTATCGCTACTTTGGCTGGGATGCATGTAGTTCCTGCTAGGTCCATATGTAGCGTGAACCCTATCGCTCACCAGTTCATCAGGCCGAAGAGGAATCCCGGCCGAAGTAGCGATTACAATTAGGTCGTAGCCAACGAAGTTGGATCCATCCCACCCTCAGTATGGCATCATGAGTAGCAAGAAGGCGCTCAATCCCGATCTCGTAAAATCTCTTGTCCACCAGGATCAGTCGTTCAGACACCCAACCTCAGAGCTGGCTGCTGCATATCTTTTTCGGGTCCCGCAGCGTTTTTTTTGCTCTCTGCCGTTGTGTCGGATAGCTGCCGGTGGCAGGGGTGGTTAGCCTTTGGGGTTGCGATGGTTCCTGGTCTCTTGGCGAATTTTCTTGGGGTAGGAGATGCATCCTCGGTAATGAGCTTGCGGGAAACAGTACATGATAGTATTGGAATGAGGACGGCGTGAAAGGAGGACGGAGGCATAGTAACCATGCTGTGAGGAGTTCTCCTAAGCCGACCGTAGGATCATCTTAGCTGTGCGATAGATTCTAGCTCGTACTCGTACTGAGGAACGTGTTGGCGATGTGTTGGATGCAAACGTCGATATGGGTTGCCTTGGATTGGCCAGGAGACATGCACTGATACTACGTATACACGGTCGTGGAATGGCACAACATATAAGCAAGAGTGGTTGTTCGAGTCTCAGGCAAGGCCCTGGCCTTCCCCGTAGATGCCAGCACAGCGAATAAGTTCATTCTGTGGCCGAAAGGGAGGGTGTGATTGATGGCAGTAGTGTCTTCCCGACGAAAGCATTTGTTGGATTTCAGCTTTTACAAGCGGACATCAACGCAGTAGTATTTTAGCAAGCTTACGAACGCATATAGGATACCATCAGGATTGTCATTGGTAAGTTGAAGAGGAGATACTTTTACGATGTAAATGACAGTAGAAATAAGTCCTACATATGTTGTTGTACTTCGTATTGGTTTAATATTCATGTAGAGTATGAGACATTAAGTGAAAGTTTTCTGAGGTACATCTGCAATTGTTTGTCGGAAGGCAAAAAAAAAAAAAAAGTTTCCGGATCTTCGCCACGATGACATAGACTATGTATGTTTGAAAAAGCCGCAGGGTACATGCTTCACTCCGATATATGTCAGGGCGGGAATCACCTCTACAGAAATAGACGACGTATCAACGTCGAAGTGATTCTCAGCCAGACGTCGGACGAATGGAACCTGTACCCTCAGGCGATTTACGGTGGCGAAGATCAAGAAAAAATCATCGGAAGTCACTCCCGGACGAGACGGAATCGGTACCGTGGACTGAGAATACCATAACAACATCAGGGTGACTCACAACTGGATATTTTGCGAATCAGAACCAGGCCATTCACGGGTGGATCCACTCATATTCGACTTGTGTGCATCAATAGTGAATACACCAATAGCAAAACCAAGTATGTGCGTCCACGCCCTGCATTTTTGTATATCTAGACTAGACTATACGTTGTTTCACGATTTCGTTTTCTGTCAGAGTGAGTGTACTGCTGCTGTGGACCCGAGCACGCTGGTTGCTGAGGGATAGCCCCAATCGCCCCGTGGAAGTTTCATTTCTTTAGCCAGTATCAGTGAAGCAGGAGAATGCTGGCGGCGTTTTGTTTTGTTTCAAGGTAGTTGTAGGCAACCTGAGGCTCGCCCGTCGAGAGCAGACGCCCGGTCTTCCGTCACAACAAATAATTGTTTGCCTAGAATACTCGGGATGAAGGGTAATACGCAATTTTTTCATTTTCCCCTGCAAGACCTAGCCGTACCCACCTGCACGTCCATGTTCTTATTTGTTTGTGAAGTGCTGAATCAACATCGGCGTAAGAGCATGCCCGCGAATGAACCGATCAGGCATCATCACTACACTGCGGTTGCCGAAACGCATACCGGGGCAGGGTGGGAGAGGATAGCGCGCGCCGTGAGTGAACTATGCTCGTACACGTTTGCAACTGGCTGTTTAACCAGAGAGTGCTGCTGTACTAGAGAGTATTGGCTTTACCAGAGCGCTGTCCGGAGGAAGTCGGCAAGATGGGAATCCTGGTTGGCAACGGGACAGCTAGTACGATGATCGAAATTTCACAAGACCAGCAGCTGACGGACTTCACATTCACAAGCGAAGGGTGTTGTTGTGTTGAATGAAATCTAATAAAACCAACGCAGCAGCCCAGCCGCTGTACAAACCTCGCACATTACCTGTCTTACTCCATTTTTCTGCTACAGCCGTGCTCCATCATTTAGATGAGATGCTTGGAGGCTGCAGTGGTTGGAGTGGGTTACGCTGCTGTGGAAGCCGAGCGAGTCCTGTGTTCAAGGAGTCGCTTAGTGGCTTGTTGTGGAGTCTACAGCCGCGCAACGTATAGCACTAGATTTGTTCAGTACAACAACAAGCAAGGTGATCAACTTTCAGTCTGATGCAACCATACCCTCAATTTCACAAGCCAAAGGCGTGGATGTGAGCACCTTGAAGGTTTTTCCACGTGTCACGGACTGCATACAACCTCGAAACTTGAAGCAAGAAGAGAGTTCGGGGGGACCGTGTCGGAGAGAACAATTATGATGCGGAGAATGTTGACAGCACAGATAACGGTCTGTGTGGTCCGTATGCACAGGCAGAAGAGAGCTGCGCGCTCGCTCGTGCGTCGATGCTCTCTCCGTGTACGGGGCTCCTTGCGTGGAACTGTGCGTAGTGAAGGCTTCCAACTTAATGGTCGATGCAATAGCTCCTCTTTTTTGTGTCAAGTCCGGTGTTGTATCCACAGGCAGGTCTGGGGCTCCGTGTGTGTTGTGGAGGTACACACACAAACTGAGTCTTCCGGGAAAGTTCGTCGGGTGCCAAGCTCGCCACAGTGCCAACGCAACACGTGCGAGGTACGAGGACCACACGAAAGTAGACGTCAGTAAACCTCATTACCGCAACACGAAGGTTGATTTAAACGTGTGGTGGCCACAAGGTTCCGCTGCTGCTGTGGCAACACGTGCGGCGCACAATTCGATTGGCGGTGTTCTATTGGCTCAAATGTCAAATGGCTGACTTGTTGCAACGTGGACGCGCTTTCATCCACTGGTTCACTCAAATACGAAGGGGGGACCGAGCATAGATCAAGAACCCAAGGAGAAATATGAGCAACGACTTATTGCTGGAAAGTCAGCAAGTGCACGCAGAACTCGAACCCCGTCATCATTCACACATTGTCCGAATCGACGACGCAATGCCTCGTCCCCGAGCTTCGTTTCCGGCTACCGTCACGCAATCACTTTCTTGGTCTTCACGAGTTTTCGTGTAGTAGCAACAAGTTCGAGAACACGTGCATGTATGCAAAATGCTCCGTACCATGCATGCATGCCGTCCCTCCTCATAGCGGGGGCCAACATCCTTTCACAAAAACAAAAATGCTCTATCTCCGATCGAGATCATCCAAAAACTGACGAAAATCAATCTGCGCGAAACTCGACTCTGTAGACTATACAACTCAATCTTACGTACAGACAACGCCATTTAATGTAGGTGACACACTGCTTGCAGTCCCTCGTCATCTCGGGCACCTCTCCTTTCACGATACGTGGAATCTGAAACGAAGAACAAGAGTGAGTGGCAAGGTCCTGCTGAGCACATCACGAAAAAAACACTCTCACTCCTTGAACGGAGGACAAATCACGTCGCGCGCGCAGCGCATCACCGACACGCGTGGTGTGTTGGTACACCACGTGCTCTGCTGCTAACTACTGCTGCTGCAATCGAACAAAAAAAACAAATCTCGTGCAAACTTGCACATCAAAACTGCTGTCGAAGAGAAAAAACACGCGAACAACGGAAGATAAAACATACACCAAAACTTCGGTGAGCGTCACTCATGGCGATACCCTTTAAGGCAGCCGAACGGGTCCACCAGGGAGAAAAATAAAAAACGGACCCGAGCATAACAACGGCTTGAAGAATGTCTCTCTCAGAAACCTATCTCTCCGCATATTGAATCCCTCAAGTTGCCTCGCGCTCAAGTTCGAGAACAGGGAAAGGAAGGGTCGCTCCACCCAAACAAGGCCACAAGGCGCGCCGCGGCACGCGCGCGCACACACACACCAGATTATGGACTAGCATGTTTTCGAGCGCTCCGAGACTCGGGTATTTTCGCCGGTCAGTCGGTTAGCGCGATTGATCAATGCTAACAATCAAAACATGCACACAAACACACGCACACACCTTTAAGAAAGCACACACACCCCACGGACTGCCCGGACCGGCGGGGCCCCTCCCCTGGGGGGGGACGGGGCGCAATTCACACACGGGCGAGCTCGACAATCTCTGTCTTTTATCTACGACTCCTCGGCTACCCAAGGCAGGGATTGGCCAATGGCCATACGGGCAGGGACACACACACGAACACAATCTCGGCGAGCGGTGTATGCAGTTTTGGGAAGGAAAAAGAATAAAGACGGGGCCTTTGATAATGAGCGCATCTCTCCGTCATCAATGAAAGACAAACCATAATAAGGTGCCATGGAAGAGTTCGCTGTCGTCATCGTCAGCCCACCCGACTTCGATGCACTCCAACTCTCGTCACAACCCGTCCATGTCTTACGGGTCCCATCGGATGATCTTCAAGAACTGTGGCGAGCAGCAGCATCAACGAGCAGGAAACGACAGCGGTATGGGTTGAGCTGTGAACTCAACGAATAATATGCGCTGCTGCCGTGTCAGCGATGGCGGCACCAGCAGCAGCAGCGAGGGTCGAGATGCCAGCGAAGGCCGGGGTGGGGACAAGTCAACGGTCAATAACAACGGCACTGTAACAACAAACAGTTAGTGCTGCGCCCGTAACCAATAGAATAAAATGCCCATCTACTCGAAAAAAAAAAAAAACGCGGCAAAATGAATTTGCCTCCGCATCTTCCGCCGAACGAGAAGAAAAACAAAAACTCAAGAACACCCCAAAAAAGAGGAACATACGGAACGGTCCTCCTGAGGATCTCGAACAACACGCTATCAACACAAAACCGGTGCTTCACTTGGTCGCGAGCGGGGTCACGAAAAGTCCCGCTACCGACCCCACCTCGTCGAAAGACACGCTGCCGACGGCGTCGAGGTCCAGCATGGTCATGATCTCCTCCACCGCCGACTCGTCCAGAAGGGGGTCAGCTCTGAGAAAGGCAGCCTTGAGTTCGCCGAGGCTTAGGGTGCCTGACTTGGCAGTGTCGGCTCGGTCGAAGACCTGCCGCAGCTCCTGCGCGCGCAAGACACACCCGGGGAGGAAAACATGCTGCTTGCCGACTCTTCCCTCGATAAGCAGAACATCATGGCCTTCAGAAAAGTTTTTTTTGTTTTGGACCGTGCTGAGAATGAATGACGTAGTATCATTGGTGCGCCGCTTTAGCGCGGTCCATGCTAAGGATAAGATTTTGGCGACAAAACAATAATATAAATCGGCTGAGAAACACACCTCAGCTGTGGATCCTACACTTTGGATCCTGCACATAACTCTAGATTGGGTCCCCAAAACTGAAAATGAAAAAATACCCCAACACCCCGAGACCCGTCTATTGCGATCCCTGTGCATCTATCTATTGAGCCGCGCTCGGGTTCTGTCGCTACGGTCGACTCGATCAGAGGTCCGTTTTCCATCTGGCTGTCCCGGCCGCGGTGGCACAGTCCACACCTACAAACACGATAAACATGACCTATGCTCGACGGTCCTGACCAAGTACGAAATTGTGCCTCGACCCCAAGCTGAGTTTCTCAAAACGCGCGGGTACTAAATTTATCAAATCACCTCGTCCGTGAACGTCGCCTCGCTTCCAAGCTCCGTGAGCAGCTTGTACACGCCGTGCCGGAACTGCCTCGCCCGTAGCATGCGCATCACGTCTCTACGGAACCCCGTCCGCCTCGCCATCAGCAGCCGGGCAAAGTCGTCGCCGCTTATCTCATCCACCGCGCAGCCGCCCTCGGCGGCGCAGACGACAGAAGCGGACCTGGGCTGCGCCGTCATAAGCGCCATCTCTCCGAACAAGCTCCCTGCAGAACGGACGGGGGCGTACTCATGGAGTAAACCGTAGTCGTTTGACCGGTGACGGCGGGACGGAGCGGCATGCTGGGTTTTCGCTGTCCCAGGGGTCATGAAGCGTGTGCTGTGTTGCGTGTGCGAGCTGTTCACGGTTCCCTTGCCTTCGTGAGCTACCAACAATCCCTTCCCCCTGTGAGCTATGAACGCTCCCTTTGCACTCAGCATCGATCGCGTTGTCAACGGCTCAACACCAGCAACGGAGCGGCATGTAAGGTGTGCTGTAGTGCGAGTCCAAGTGTAAGCTTAGCATCGATCGCGTAAAAAACGGCTGACTCCAACCAACACCAGACGACTCGCACCTGGCGGCAGGCGGGCCACCGTGCGATGGACGCCCGAGTGCTCCTTCACCACGTTCAGCTCCCCCTCCTCCACCGTGAACAGCGAAGAACCCCTGTCCCCCTGCCGGAACACCGCCTCCCCAGGACCCAGCAGCCTCTTCGTGACGGAGTGCACTGCGCGAACGACATTCTTCGCCCTGAACAGCGCCCGGCTGAGATCGCACAGAGGAAGGGGGCCGCCGGCGCCGGGGGGGGGGGGGGGGGGGGGGGGGG